CTCGATTTTGGACATGGTTCACCAGGCCTTTCTTGCTAGTTTTAATCATGAAGAGGTGAAATTTGTTCAGTATCATAGCAACACACATGGCAGTAGGTGAGAATTCTATAGCTAAACCATCATTGCTGTCTTATAGATCCTAACAATTCTCAAAATTAGATGGTTTAAAAATTGTGTAGCTCATTGCTTTTAGGAATTTGATGCTGTAAGGAGTTGTACTGTCAACCCAAAAGCATATAATACAGTTCAAATCCTCCAGCTGCTTCTTGGGAGAAAGATGAGCAGTCTCCTCACGTACTATTTACTGCATCTGAAAATCTGCTCTGTGGTTGTGAGTTGGTTCCAAGTCAATGGTACACAAAAAGAACAGCAACAGAGGTGACTACGTGAAATAGAAGAGGTCTGGTGTCCTAGTAGGTAGAGATTGTGCTGCTAATCCAAAGGCATGCAGTTAAAACCCACCAGTGAATTCAAAGAAGAAAGATAGGTAGTTTCCTCCCATATGACTTACAGTCTCTGAAAACACTGGAGATTGAGCTAGGAGCCAGTTCTGACTTGATAGCAATGAGTTAGCTAGTTCACTGTGTGAGATATAGGAGGAGATGGACCTCAGGAGGTCCTGTCATGATAATACATGATTTCTACCCTCATGGTCTGTATAAACTCCATTTAGTTTTAAATTAATGAGGTTTTACTTTCTTCCTGGGCTGCATTTGGATGCTATTCTAGCTGCTGTGAACTTACACCAAGTAAATTCTCTTGTCAAAGAAAACAATGCCAACAAAATACTATTTTTCAAAATAGGGTCCTTTAAAATAGGAGGATTTTCATGAGTCATCTGAGGTACCTTTTACAAAAATATCTCCGAAACTCTCCTTTGACAGAAACTCTGACAGTTGACCCAGGACCTTGAATTTTAAGTGCACACTGAGGGTTATTCTTTAGAATCCCAAAGCTTGAGAAATATGGCCATGATGAATGAGATGAAATAAAGAGCAAATCTGAGAAAATGAGATCAAATGAGGTCAGCTAATATAGTCCCAGGTGGAGTTGCATTTTTCAGTTAAATGTAGATACATTTAAAGTTAAATGGAGAGAAATAATAGAAACTCTTTCTTTTATCCTTAATCTCCTTTGGGAGTAGCTGTAGTGCTGTAAGGCACATTTTCATCTATGGAAATCTCATAGTTGATTTTTTTTAGGAAGAAGCCTGATTGAGCTTTATTATGTCATACTTTACTGAACCTCTTTATGTAGTTCTATAAAGAAAACTACATGCTTAACAAAAGTTTCCTTTACTGACAGATGTCCAGGCATTTAATAGTCCATATGTCAGTTCAGTACAAGACCTCATGGTTCCTGGCTTTGACGAAGATGCTGGAATATATATAAACACACATAGAATATCACAGATTACTCAGATCCACAGTCAACCTCTCAACACCAGCAGTCAGGAAATCAAAGGACGAATTGCTTTGGGAAAATCTGCTGTCATGGACCTCTCCAGAGTGCCGAAGAACAACAATGTCAGTCTAGATACAAAGGTGCACCTACTCCAGGCCAAGGAAGGTTTTCTCTATTACTTGTTATGCTTCAGGAAGTTGGACAATGACTAAGGATGACAGAAGAAGAATTGATGTCTTTGAGTTGTGGAACTGGATAAGAGTCTTGAACATACCATGGACTGCTAAGAAAATAAATAGGTCTGTCTTGGAGAGAGTAAAACCAAGTCTCTCCTTGGAGGCTAGGATTTTGAAACTCTGCCTCACTTACTTTGGGAATGTGGCCAGGAGAGGTTGGTCCTTGGAGAAGGACATCATGCTCAGAAGGGTAGAGAGACAGTGCAGGAGAGGAAGACCCCAGATGAGATTGATACAGCAACTGCTGAAGTGGGGATTGGTGTGTCGAAATTAGTGAAACTGGCTCAGGACAGTGAAGGGCTGCGAGCTGCTGTACATAGGGTCACTATGCATCACAGGCAACTCAATGGCACATAAGAACAGTAATATACTATGACAGGTTTGGAAGTAGGAGTGGCATCCACTTCCTAAATAAAGTGCCTCTGGAAACCCTATGAACTTTGCTAAATGTCGACAGTTGTAGAGGGGCTTCAAACCTTTTGTTCATATGAGTTGTGCTCGACTTAAAGACAATCAACAACAACAACATAGAATTTTACTCACGTGCACACTCAGACTTACTTGGATTACACTTTATAATTGTACAGTGTCTTGCTGATATTATTTTAATCCAGCACCAAATTATAGCCATTCAAGTAAATTAAATTCCCAATCCTGAATCTTGTGACAAGAAGATTTTTTCATGCCAGTGTATGGACTGACACGGAGATAAACATAGAGATGCTTTCAGAACAGAAGCACCCAGTACTCTGGGACTTTGTATTAATGAATACAAGTTCATGTTGTTGGCTCTTTTTTTTTTTATTTGTTCAAGTCAACACCATTGACTCTCAGCCAATGAACTCTGTAACAAGTGTGTCCAGAGATCAAAAGTGGGGCAATTGAAAAGTGATCAAAAGATGCAGCTACAGGAAGAATATGGAGGAGGCCATTTGTCCATTTGAATTTTTTTAAAAATTTCATTCATTGGTGAAAATTTTCCTTACTGCTCCTCCTCCTCCACCTCTCCAGTCCACTTTGTAATGCACCCCTTGTTCCAGATTGTTGTCATAGATATTATGCCTAATCATATATTATTTTCATACAGTTCTTCCTCTCATCTGTTCTAATGCAGTGTTAATTATCTAGCCACTCTTTTGTTATTCTCCCCTCAACTCCCCATGTCAGACTTATTGTAATTTTTAATGTAACTTAACTCATAGACACTTTAAAAATAAAGAGGCTGGGTAAAGAAACACTTCTGCATACTATATCATGCTGCTGTAACATGAGTGGAGAAAATGATCCTTTTAAAATCAATTTTTCATTTACATTTGGAAAGGGGATTAATACTATGACAAATGTTCCACAGCTTTCTGAATGCTCTTCCCAAAGCTGATAAAAATACATGTTATTTAGGGTCTTCTTATAAATAGGTAATAGATAGACTCATTCTTTCCTGGTCTATACTCCTTTGCTACTTCTGCAAAACTTGTGACCAGCTGCCTCACTTTGCCAGGAATTTGCTTTATTTTTACATTTCAAGTCTTACGTTCCAAGCAAATTGTGAGCAAATCAGAATGATAAGTTACTCTAAATTTACCTAAGTTTCAATATGGTTAGACAGATGTTTTCTAATTCAGTACCCAACTTTTAAATGATAATCTGTTCTATGATGGAAACTGTAACTTAGCTGGACTTGAATTACTTCTTGAACTTAAAAGGTAATGATAGTAAAGAGATGGAATTTGTGGTGGTTTTCCATTTGGTTGCTTGTTGCACTGAATTCTAGAACTTGAGTGTTGAAAACACCTTTAACTTTTGTATCCAATCTCTCTCTTACCAGAATAGGACATCAAGATTCAGAGAAGTTTGATGATTTACTGCCTAAACCCATCCAGTTAACTAACTAGGATCCAGACTTTGAACCCAGGCCCCTCTTTTCCAGTCTTATGCTTTTCTCATGTTGCCACATGCACTTGAAAGATGTTATGGTCTTTGAAAGCATTCAGTTGCTTTGAAAAACTGAACAGCATTGTCCGAGAGAAAAGCCAGTTCTCCAAGATTGTGCTCCATTAACTGCTCTCCGGTATTCTTACAAGAAAATGGTTTTTGTTGTGCACCATTAAGTCAGAACTGACTCATAGCTGATCCTTAAGAGAAAATTGCCTATTTTCTTCAGTGGAGCAGCTGATGGGTTTGAACCTCATGCCTTTGGGATGGCAGAACAACTCCTTATCACTAAGCTAGTAGTTTCTGTGCTTGTTATATGCCATTGAGTCTGAACTGACCCAGAGCTGCTGCATGCCTTTAGATTGTGTATTTAGGTAGTGTTGAGGAACACTGGGAGGGCCTTTTTCCCCCAGGATGAAGTTGTCTCTCCTTATAATCACAAACACGTTTCATCCCTGAAGAAGAAGAGGTCAATAAATGTGTCTAATTTAAAAAAAGAGGTACTATGCTCTTATTACTTTTATCAATATTTCATTGTAACAATAAGCAGAAAACAGCTTTTGCTGATTTACCTTCTGCTGGGTAGAAGATAAGTATATAAATGTTAAATGTTGCTCCATCTGAAAGATTTGGAGCACTTTCTTAAGTCTTTGTTTTATTTATAGATTAAGCTCAAAATTCTGAACCATCTTCCACATTTTCTATCTTTTCGGTAATATCTCTTCCATCAAATGAAGGGGGGGGGTGAAGCCCCAAAAAACAAAGCTTCAAAACAGAATCTTGAAATAAAACCTGAAAAAATATCCAAAAGCCAAGTCAATATTTTCAATAAGATATTGAAAATCTGATGACTTTATCACATTAAGGCTGTTCTTCCAAACTGAGTTATAGAGAATTGAAAGACTCCTTTTTACTTATAGTGCGAAGTTGGGCAAATTCTAAGAGTCATTAGCAGAGACTCACGCAACTCACTCAATTAGCTAAGGAGCAAAGATTGCTCTGGAATTTTCCCTATGCTGAATTTTATTTCATGGACTAAATGATTCAGTAGAAACTTTTTAGCCCAATATGTTTCTATAAATATCCTTCCTAACTTTTGAAAAAAAAGCCCTGTAAATTAGCAATATTTAATGTTCAAGAATGACTAGGGGATTGAGGTGAATTTTTATTGCATCTGTGTATTTTCAGTCCAGTAATTTAAGAACACTTAATGATCTGATCGTTAATGTGGTGAGCTCGTTACTGTCAGCGGTAACTTGCTTTCTAAACATGTGTTTTAAGATTTCTAGATGAGGGTTTGGAGTGGATCAGTGTGGGTTAGGGCCAACTCAACTTTAGAATGAAATTCTCAGGTTTGTTAAATGGCACCTGGGCCGTTTGAAGTGGCGACTGGACCCTTAATTGCTGCCTCTCTCTTCTGTTAAAAAGGGGATCATCCAAGATGGGAGAATCATCTTTATGCCAAATGGATACATTGCACAGTGTCCAAACCTGAATCGCAGTAAGTAGCAACTTAATACTAAAAGAAAACTTGTGAATTTAAAATAATTAATTAAATTTTTAAATTTTTTACGACATTGGAGAAAGTCACCTGGAAGGATCCACAGTAGATTTTAAAATACTGTCTCCTGAGGTAACACGGCATGTGAAGGTGAACTTTTTTTACTAGATTCTTCTGTGTCTGGACTTTTTAATATTATCTTTAAGAGAGATTTTTATTTTTCTTATAGAAATGCACAATTAAAATTAAGGGTGATTTAGCAACTTTAGTCCCATAAGTTGATGTAGAAAAGCATGTTTAATCTAAATATATTATGTGTATAT